GGGCGGGGGTGGGGCTGCCCCCACCCCGGGTCGCGCGCCACCCATTTCTTACTATTGAAACTGCATTACGATGTTTTGAACAGTGGTGGCGCCAGAGGGGGGGGGATGGGGCTATATCCCCCTTCCCCCGTCTTGGAAGACGAGTAAATTTTGTCGGCGAATAAACAAATAAAAAAAGTTATTTACTTTCATTAAACTATTTGTGTTAATAATAATAATAATAATAATAATAATAATAATAAATAGTTCAATGAGACTAATTAAAAATAATTTGCGTTATGCTATGAAAAAATGCTTGCTTGATAGCTTCATGATGCTTGGAATACATCGTAATAGGGGGAGGAACCTCGACCTCGACAGCGTGGTTGACAGATTTCATGCAAAATTTCCAAAATGTAGAATTTTACTTTCAAGAATGAGGATTTGAAAATTAATTAGATGGTTACATTGCATAGGCCTACTCTTTGTTTCTTGTTTTATTCAAAATATTTTGGTTTTGGACCCTCACCGGAGGCCCTAGGCTTCCCCCTGGCCCCAGCCAAGCGAGACTCGTTTCGCTCAACTAGCCCCCCCACCCCCACCCCGTCGGGGCCTTTAGTAAAAATTAAATTGGATGCCAAGCACAAACTAATACAAAGTGTGCACCTATTAGCTTGTTTTAAACTCGGGAGATAACAATCACCAGCAAGTTTTTTCTATTTATTAATATCTCCCAAAATCCAGTGTTTGCAGCACTACATTCAGTAGGACCCAAAGCTGTGGATTATATTACATATTTTTTAAAGATCTTCTTTGAAATAATAACAATACTGAGTATATAGTATTACTTACTATGCGTGGTACCTACTTCTTTGTACATAAAGTAGAACCCCTATTAATATTATTAACAATACTGAGTATACTATACAATTACATTTCATACCTATACTTTACTTTTCCTTTTCTAAATAAAGTAGAACCCCTGTTAAGGGACACCTTCTGCACCATAAAGTGTTCTCCTTTTACCAGACACTATAAGGTGACTGTACACCAGTCAATGTTTCATAAACAACAGAATGTAAAATACAAAAGTTTCATAGGGATGTATCCTCAATAGAGGTACTCCTATTATATGGGACACTAACACAGTACCACCACTTACAGGTTGGAATTATGCTATAATTTGTGGCTCTGAGAGTGGAACTGGTTTCTTTAGACGTGAGAAATGTGATGCAATGATGAGATTCAAGCATATCTTAACCACCAAGCAGCTTAACTATAATCTCTACAACATACTGCATGCAGCAGGATATCCTATGCTCCCCGTGAAATGTACAGGGTTGCACACATTGTGCATATTTGACAAATTTTGGATTTGTACTTGTAAATTTTTGAGCAAGTAACAAGATATAAACTATCTAAAATGCTTTGGTATGAAAATATATGCTAGACAATAATGAGTATATACTCTTTATGAAAATATAAAAATAAAAGCATTTCAATTATACTATATTCAATACAAAAAAATAATATATATATTTCATTCATTCATTCATTCTGGTTTATCATTAAAAACAACAAAAATTGACATTGCAGAGTATTGAACTGAATTGTGTCAATCTAACAAAATTAAGCAAAGATAAAGAACATTAACAAAACAAAGCACAACACCGTATATAAACATGCAAAAAGTATTCAATATAAACAATTTCAAAGATAAAAATTGCAACAATCACAAAAGACCACACACTCATGAACAATGAAAAATTCAAGATAAACAAACAAAATTACGATAAAATTTGTTCCTAAAAAGATCATAAAGAAAAAACATTAAAATTTCAATTGACATTTTGAAATTTAAAAATTTACAAAATTGAGATAACATTTAATTAATACAAAAATAGAGGAAGGAATGTCAATTTGATTTAATAATGTACAAAACAGTTGAGTGAAGTAAAAATAATTTTGAAATATATTTATTTAAAAAGATATAAACATAACAACTATTGTATTGATAGAAATTACTGTGGCATCTACAAATCCACCTCAAAAATATTAATAAGCTAGAAAACAATAATTTTAAAAGTTAAAAGGGGTTTAAAAAATATTAAGTTAATAATTGTTTAACTAATTAAAAATATATGAGAATACTGTTTTTTTAATGGTCATTCATTGTTTTATCTTCTTTATACCAATACAAAATATACCCTAATGATGTATGTACTCTTTTATGAAAATAGTGATCTGAAAATGACAACAATCATTAATTTATTATGCAGTCTTTTTAAAATTAGAAAAAGAATGATGACAATAATGTGCTGTAAAAACTACATTCATATAGTATCTCATCATAAAATTCAGAATCATTGTAAAAATAATGCCCCACCAAATAAATTACATTCAATATTGTAGCTCAATGGAAAACTGTAGTAAAGCATATTAAATTTATAAGAGATACCTGTGTGTAACCGTATGAAAAAGTATGATTTTTAAACATACATTATATTTTATATTTAGTAACTGACTAATCTAATTATATTTTAACATAATTTAATATTATGTTTAAAATATTGTATATTTGTATTTTGAACATTTCATGTGAACTTAAATTACTAATACTTGAACTTAATGGAAACATTAACATTCTCTTCTAAAT